AGTCTCTTTCACGGGGGCACTAATCCCATTCATCAGGGTTCCACCCTCAACCAAATCACCTACCAAAGTTCTCACCTCCTAAATACCACATTGGAGAGTAGGATTTCAACATAAGAATGAGCCGCAGTGTGGGAGGGGACACCCAGTCTATGACATCCTATTATTCCTCTTGTGAAAGAGTAGAAGCTATTTCATGGTGTGTTGTAGTTGAGTTAGAACTGTGAGTTGCTACAATATAGTAACTTAAAGAGTAATGGTTTGGGTTACAATTATAACAAGTGAAGCTTTGCAAACATGTTTCCATTGGAAACAACTTTGCTTTTTAGGAAAGCACTTCCTGGCTTGTGAGTTCTGCCTGACCCAGGAATTGGTGTAAGTGGGTGGAGCATGATCCATCAAAGGCAGCACGTGATTGGATGGGTTTCAAGCTCGAAATTTGGAGGAGCTGGCACTAGACTATTTTATAAAATTGTCAACAAATAAATACAGAAATAACAATGAAACTTCCTGTACACATACTTTTAAACTGGTTATTTAGTCATTTTTTTTTCTACACTTGAGGAATCATGGTTCTGGTTATCTTTTTGGCTAGACTTGCCTTCTTACAGAGTTATCTTCCTTTTTATTTATTTAGTTACCTGATTTTGGCTCTAGGGTGTGTGCGCTTGCAGGGAGGGGGAAGTTAGAAATTACCCCCTACAGGGAATGATGTTTCTCTTTTTTAATTAATTTTATTTATTTATTATTATTAATTTGTAATGTGCTATAGGGCACATGTGCTCATGAAAGAGACAGAGAGAGAGCAAGGCAGGCAAAGAGAGAAAGAAGCTGCCATATCCGGAACTTGAGCCAAGGTTGACCATGTGGGCGTCCAGCGCCTTAACCACCACGCCAGCTGCTGCTCACTCCCCACCGTGATTTCCATTTATGATTTATTTTGTTACAATTGTATGCAGGTAATAAAAATAAGAATTACCATTTATCAAGATGAAAGTTGAAAAAATTTAATAAGCCTTACTTTTTTTTTTTTTTTTTTGTGCTATAGGGTGCATGCACTGGCCAGAAAAACAGAGAGAGACAGAGAGACAGAAAGCGAGGAATCACCCCCCAGGGGGGATGGCCACACCGCAATCCCTTCTTCATTCTCCTCTCGGGATCTTGGGCACGCATGCACATGCGCCCCGTGTGAGTTCAAGCCACTGGGTCCGGGACTCGAACCATGGTGGACTACATGGTAGTACAGAGACATAGCCATTATGCCAACTGCTGGTCCCTAACAAGCCTTACATTTACAAAAAAAAAAAAAGTTGTACGCTGAAAATACTAATCCTTACCTAAGGCTTGAGCTGAACGATTTTTCTCTAAAAATATATTTTTCAAAATACTAGTACTATGTGATAACTTGCTAACTTTTCCTGTAAGCTGTTCTAGATCATTAATAGAAGTATTTTGAATTATTTACCTGGATAATATATTTCACTGTATGAGCTTTCGACTAGTTTTGGTCTAAATCTAAACTGTTGGACTCGTGTATAATTATTTTCACAAACTGCACACTCATGACTGCCAATTTTTCCATGACTAACTATTCCCTGCCAGATGTGTCTTAGATTCTGCTGAATCACTTTTCCCCCAGAACTCTGTGTTCCCACTAAATCCTAATTCCCTCTGGCCTCTTATTTTCATATTGTGCCTTTTACCTGAATTTGGGGTAAAATACTTTGATTGCTCTTCTTACCCGTTGTATGCATGTAATAGGTTGGCGTTTATTACTCTCAGTTTTACTTACTATCACAAATCTTAATCTGTCCCTTTCAGGGACAGAGACCTGTGGAGGGATTTATTCTAAAAACTCATTAAGGCTGTATAGTCAAGGAAAACTAGCGACAGCCTCATCACACGACTGAGTATATTCTGAATCACCCTCAAATCCAGACTTTCAGAAAAATGCTAACCGCTTCCCAAGCCTGGGCATTTATTTTCTGCTCTTCAGCTATCTCTTCTCCTAGGTAGATTTTGTGGGTGCAGCAGGATCGTTAATCGGCGATTAGACATCTGGAGTTTGCTGTCAAGAGGTGCCTTTGGACTTCGGATGTGTTTAGATTTCCTTACCAATCTGAGAGCATTAGGAACCCTCACTCCCTAGACAGAAAACTTTGGGTGACAGAGTTCACCTCTTGAAAGCAATAACAATATTTGTCTGCACAGATGGTTCCAGGAACGAGCCATAGACTCGGATTGTATTAAATGCCTACTATGTGTTGGTAATTGCAGCAAGGAGGAGGGGGGGAGTTCTAAGGAACAAGCCTGGTCCCTCTTCCCCCTAGGGGTTGTAATGGGGAAGGCAGGCAAGACACCTTGCCACTGAAATCCGCTGAAGTACTTGGTGAAATGGAGTGTGTGAAGCTGGGGGCAAGCACGGTGAAAATTCAGAGGAAGGGCTGAACCATCGCCAGTCATTTCCAGATTCCTCGTCAACTGGTTACGCAAAGGGAGCTAGAACCCTTCTTCACGTCTCCACGCATGCATGTTTCAAAGAATCACCATCCGGGCGATTTCTGCTTAGAAAACAATGAGTTCCTCAAACTGCCGGCGTTCTCTACACCAACTGCAGAACGTCGTTGCGTGCCTACAGAAGGGGCAATTAATCACTCATTGAATGAACTGTTTTTCTGGCAAGTATTGCAAGTAGAAAACAGTTGCGGAAGGAACGTTCCTGGGGCCAGGAAACAAGATCTCCATTGTGGGATTGGAAAGCTAGTCCACTCAGCCCCGCGGACCACGGGAGCCTCTTCTGTAAAAGCACGCTGGGAGGTCCTCTCCAACCTCCTGAAATGTTAAGATCTAATCAGAAAGGAATTGGTCAGACCGATGTGATTATAATAGTTTAGTGATGTTTCCAACTTCTCCCAGCCTCTAGGTGGATCATACAGGAGGGAAGTTATCGCTGCCACGGAACTTTACAGAAGGGAGTAGAAACAATGTGGAAGGTTAGGACATAGTTTTAACGCCCCCTTTGCTCCTATACGGTAATGTATCAACAGTGATATTGTAGCAATGTTTTAACAATAGCAGTTGATCTAGAAACCATCTGGCCATGATTCAACCAACCCAGAAAAAAACTTTGCTATGAATTACAAGGGTCTTCAAAAAGTTTATAGGAAATGAACTGTGTTATGAAAATACTATGTATGGATTTCAAAAGATTTTGTGCCAAATAAACTCATACTTTAATTCCATTTTCCACAAACGCTTTGATGCCCCCAACCTATGCACGTGACCACTTTTCTTCCTCCTCTTCGTGAAAATAGTAAGATTTTTAGTCTTGTTCAAATCTTGAAGAACATCATTCCACAGGAACTGAGAAACCTATGCAAATATCTAACAAATTCTTCTCTGAAAATGTTCATGGAAATGCAAAATAAATCGATATCTACTTTATCAGTATTTAGGGCATCCTCTGTGACACAGTCTGGTGGTAAAACACGTCTTTCTTATACAGTGCTCCTCTTAATATTGCCTAATTCTATATGATTTTAGGACAATCAGGGACTCCTGAATTACTCTGGAGAGGCAAAAACAAAGAGAAACACACTATGGTTTCCCGGGTGTTGTACCACACTCAACTGCGCTGTAACATTTTCTCTTTTTCTACCTGCAATCGCAGAGAGCGATCCTAGGTGCGTCCGAGGATCTCTTTGGGAAAAGGACTCAGGCCAGACACTGCAGAAAAGAGGACTGCTTGATTTAGTTTTGCAAATATATACTTTGTGGGTTTTAGAGCTGGAAGAGGGCTCAAAGAGGAAACCAGCAAGCACAGCTTTTAGCGCCCCCGGAAGGAAGGATTGCGAGCGCGAACCCCGAGCCATTTCAGTTCAGGCAAAGGGAGAGAATACGAAGTTCGCCGAGTTTTCTTTCTTTCCTAAGGAGCGTAAGGCTCAGCAGGGTTCGTGGACATGTGCGTGCAGTCTGCACTAAAATGCAAGGCTGACTTCTCTAAAAAACGAGAGAAAGTGAGAAAGTGAGAGAGGAGAGAGAAAACCGTCTGCCTGCCCTGTAAGAACGCTCCAGGCCTGAGCGGCCGGCAGCAGAGCGATCAGGGCGGATGCGGGAACTGACTTGGAGACGGCGAGCTCGGCTGTTCTCCAATAGGAAGGGGGGACCGTCTCCCGCCGGACAACTTGACAGCAAAGCCCAAATAGAGAAGCCGGAAAATAATTCAGAAAAACCAAAGCTTAAAACGAGAGGCAAGGAAGTCTGACAGCTGTTCTCAGTCCCCCTGGGTTGGTCTGCCCAGGTGGCACTCAGTCCCAGACGTCTTCAGTGTAAACCTCGTTCTTTCGGCACCACAGAGCTGCAGGTGTCACGCGCAATTCTCCCAGGGGCAAACCGCCAGGCCCGAGCCTGCTCTTCCACGGGTCACTGTCCCGCATCGGGCCGGTGGGGACTGTGTGGTGGTGCCGACCGCAGACCCGCGGGCCGCTGGCGAAGGCGGACACCTGCGTGTGCACCACCTTTACGCGGTGCGACCTGTGAGGGAGGCAGCCCGGAGGCCCCTGACCCTCGGGGCAAAACGCAGGCTGGGAGGGGTCCTGCTCGGAGCCACACCGTCACTAGGTGGCAGATCCGAGCCTCAGCCCCACGTGGGCAGAGCGCGGGCAAGCGCTCTCCGGGGCGGGAGCGGAGCCCAGGGCGCGCGCTCTACCGCAGGTGCAAAGGCCCGGCTCCCGCAGGCCCGCGCCGCCCCCCGTCACCCAACGGACGGAGAATTGGGTGCTCCACCTCGGAGACGCCTTTCGACGCGTCTGCTCTTTCTTCCCCATAGGCCTGCTGTCCAGGCTGAATTTCGCGCTTGCGGGGGCCTGGGTGCTTCGGGGGCCGGGGACCGGGGGGCCC